AATATTCCTCAATTGTAGTCTCTATTAGAAAGTCAGTTCTGTAAGAGTCACGAACCAAGAACAGGTAAATATTTTGCCAATAATTAAAATGTGATAACAAAAGGTGTTGGTGAGGATGTGGAGAAAGGGGAGCCCCAGTGCACTGTTGGTGGGAATGCAGACTGGTGCAGCCACTGTGGAAAGCAGTATGGAGTTACCTCAAAAAATGGAACCGCCTTATGACCCAGATTCCATTTCTGGGAGTATATCCGAAGAAACCTGAAACACTAATTCGAAGAATATATGCACCCCTATGTTCACTGCAGTGTTACTTACTAATAATAGCCAAGACTTGGAAGCAGCCCAAGTGCCCTTCAGTAGATAGATGAGTGGGTAAAAAAGCTGTGGTACATTTACACAATGGAATACTACTCAGCCATAAAAAAAGAAGGTAATCTTACCTTTTCCAACAACAGGGATGGACCTGGAGAGTAATATGCTAAGTGAAATAAGCCAGTCAGAGAACGACAAGTACCATCTGATTTCACTTATGTGAGAATCTAATGAACAAAAAAACCTAACAAACAAAATAGAAACAGACTCAAAGATACAGAGAATAGTCTGATAGCTGTCAGAGGTGAGGTTTGGGGAGCTGGGTAAAAAAGGTGAACGGATTAAGCAAAAAAAACAAATTCATAGACACAGAAGAAATAAAAATGAAAATAAATTTATTTAAAATTTCTCTAAAGAGGATTAACGAATTTATTCAGTAGGCTGTAAGATGAAAAATTATCTAGCATGGTGATGCAAAACAAAAATTATTTTAACAGACAGACATTGGGCCCAAGTTCCACTACCAATTTAGGAGCAATTTAAAATTATAAAGTGCTATAACTTCTTATCTTCAAACTACCAGCAACCTCCCCAAATCACCACTGCTAAACTGTTTTTAATGATTTTAGAGAGAGGAGTTGGGGAGTGAGATGACATTGATTGGCTGCCTCCTGCATTTACCCTGACCAGGGACAGAACCAGAAGCCTGGGTATGTGCCATGAACAGGAATCAAACCCGCCACCTTTTAATGTACAAGATGATGTTCCAACCAACTGAGCCACACTGGCCAGGGCAGAAACTGTTTTTTTCTTTAATGACCTCAAAATAGCTAATGTAATTTCCTGAAACTAATATCTTATACTTATTTAGCAGTTTGCAGTTTTTCACAGCCATTATATTCACTGAGTCTCACATCCACAAGGTAAGGTAAGATAGTGATTCTCCACCCCCTAACTCCCACCCATTTTACAGATAAAATAACTGGAGACCTGATAAGGTCAGTAAAGAACTGAAGGTCACACAAGTACTTACTGTTGGGGTACGAATTCCTAAACCAGTTTGGGTCTCTTTGCTAGGATGAAGTCTTTAAAATAGGAACATAAAATCATATGTAGATAACATAAATCCAGTAATTGTAAAAGTTAGAATGCAAAGGTAAACATTACTTCAAATTTACTTTGCTAGAAATCATTTCTTTTACCCTGGACTAGCATCCCCTTCATTTTTAAAATATAATTATTTTAGTTTAGCACCTTCTAGAACATTCTCAAACTTTTAAAAATAAATGAAAAACTAAAACAAAAAGTCTGTTCATGAACACAAACTAAGTAGTAAATGTCAGCTGAGCAGATTTAATAACCACTCAAACTCCTGAAAAACTGGGGAGCAAATGGAAAAAATGATAATCTTAATTACAGTTATTCAATTCTTATGGATACTGGCACGCTCATAGAAAGGCAGTTGTGGAAAAAGCCCACAAACCCCAACCATGTTAATGTGCTCTCTTAAGCTTAAAATAAATGAAATAAAAACTCCCCAATCTCACAAAGATATAAAAGCCACATTAATTCAATATTCCTGGGGCTGAACATGGAGCAGGGAGTTTCAAAAGAATTATAAATTGTGCTTACTCTAGAATTCACACAATATTAACCTCCTTGCATGATATAAATATCAAAATAAACCTCACCAACAACCTTTGTAATTTATTGTCTCTAAACCTCTGATAATTCCACTCCTCAACCCCATGTACCTTCTCCAAGCCCCCACCCCGGGTAAATTCGACACACAGAAGCCTCACATACAGGCCTCTAGCCTTTTTCCTAACAACTAGGACCTTTGTTCCAAGACTTGGTTTTTTACCCCACTCAATAGCTCTTTCAACTTTCTATCCTGTATATATTTTTGTTTTGTTTTGTTTTGTTTTTAGAAAGGAGATCCTGAGTCTCAACTATCAGGGTCTTTAAAAAATGAAATGCCAAAATTATCTACAGAGACAAGAAAGGACTAGAAAGTTACAGACACCACTAAAGGGCCTACAAAACGTAGGAAAGCCCGGGGATCGGGTGATTTGGCAGCGCGGAAAGATCGGGGAACGCGGACCGGGAAGGGAGACAGGAGGGGAGCAGTTGGAAGTCCGCTCAGGACCGACTCACTGCTCTATTGATCGGGGACCCCGACCCCACCCCCCCAC